CCTGGAGCTTGACCTCAGCCTTCCACTTTCAGCCTTTTGGTGCGTGGACATCCGCCACTGCCTGCCTGCTCCGGCAGGACCCATGAGGTCACCTCCTGCAGCTCAGCCGTGTCTGCCTTTGCCATCAACCTCCTGCCAGCGATTAGATGAGGGGTATCCACAAGTGATCTAGCCATGTGGGTGGTGGTTTTCTCCCTTCTAGGCACCCCCGTGAAGGAGAGACCATCCTCCTCTGAATCCAGGAGTCTCAGCTCTCAGGAAAGACACAAAGGGTTAAGGCTGGTCATGCTTGCTTTTGGAGTGAAGCGCTGGCTTGGGAAGGCATGGGCTGTCAGGTCACTTGTCCATCCAGCTTTCAGCTTCTCCATCCACACGAGCCAGTTCCGGGGTCACATCAGGGGCCTGCCCACCCCTGCGGCTTGCCCATCACCCTGGTCATAGCCAAAATTCCAGGTTCCTGGTTGTGTATCAGCCTCCCCCGGCTCCCTCCCCCTGTGCTAGCTGCAGAAACTCCCTCCATGCTGCCATGTCAGCGGCCCATCTGCTTCGCCCCCACTGGCTGTCATCCCTGGCACTGAGACTCTCAAGGTGACTTTGAACAGTGCAGACTCAGCGGGAGGGAGCAGCCCTGGAGGTGGGGAAGCCAAGGGATGGGGCCTTCCCTCCCCTGACCTGGGTCCCTCTCCCTTGGGGGTGTGGAGGGGAGCGCAGAGAGCGCAGGGGGCCAGAGGCTGAGGGCCCTGGTTGGGGAAGTCTGTGTGGTAGGTTGCCGGCCATCCCCTCTAAGAGTTTTGAACCCCTGTCTCCTCGTGTGCAGGTGGAGGAGAGAGGAAGAAGGATGCTGGTTGGACAGCAGCCTCCACGTGGAACGGGGAGGGGCCTTTTAATATATCTTGGCACCCAAATATCTCCCTTCCCCCACCTCTGCAGGTGTCACTGAAAGGTCTGTTATGGAGGTTTTATGCAATTCAGACATGAATTTCAGACATGGTTTCATGTCCCCTCTATCACTTACTAGCCGTGTGACCTTGATCCCTTAGCCTCTCTGAGCCTCAATTTCTCCATTCGTAGGTGGTGGCTAATAATGTCATTTACCTGTCACATCACACATGCTCAACTAAAAGCCACCTGTGCGCTTTCTCATGTGCACGTTACACTTTGTACGGTCATACTTGCACTCGGATGTCATTGTGCATGGACTTTTTTCTGCGCTCTGCCTGCCACCCCAGCCTCTTTGCTCCTTGTGGTTGCCCGCAGAAGGTTGGGTGGGAGGTTGGGGAGTCTGTTTCTGACCACCCCAGCGACTCAGGGGCTGAATGTCGCTCAGGAGTGTCAGATATGAGGGGCAACGATCTAGCGAGGGCAGGGGAGACAGAGACTTGCTGAGGGAAAGGAGGGAGCACAGGGAGGGTGCCCCCACTGTGGCAGGCTCCAACGGTGTCTCAAGGCAGAGACTTGAAGCCCTTGGGAGGCTGCCTTCTGCTTGGCTCCCCTGTCCTTCTTGTCCCTGAACAGGCCATTTGCACCTCCCTGCTGCTTTCTTCTGGAAGGAGATGGGGGCAGGTGGAGAGGGGTTTTGGACTCTTTCAGGTTACACAGCTCCCTGTAGGGAATGGTGTAGTGAGAATCAGAGGTGGGCGCTCTCATAGGGGGTCTATGCATGGGGTCGGTGGCTCTGGGGCTCCTGCGAGGTTTCAGAGATGGGATGGCCTCTGGAGTTATCAGGAGACAGCCTCCCTGGTAAGAACTTCGGGTTGGCACCCTCCCCAGGATCTACTTAGCAGGAGCTGGGTTAGCATGGTCGGCCTGGGGAAGGGGCATCTCCGCTGACCTCTCTGTAGTCTTAACCCTGGGGGTGGAGGTGGGGAGGAGGTGGGGAGATAATCCCTGGTTTCTCTGGTGCCGGTGAGTTCAGGACTGAAACCCAATAATGCTGACATATGCCAGCCATG